CCAGCCCAGCACGATACGCTAGCACCCAAACTCACAATTGCTGATATTTTCAGAACAAATCTATGTGTTACATTTTACTAAACAAGTTTAAAAATATTTTACGAAGTTACCTCACAAGAATTGAACTCGGGACAACACGGTCCTATTCCAACATGTTACGCACATACCTAAACTTACAAGTTCTAGGAGGTTCAGATCTGATGTGTGTGTTACGTTTTCGTAGAAGCAAGAAAAGTCAACAAAGAATTTTCATTTATGAACGAGATAGAAATACTTGTACCGTTCTTTTCGTGCAAACCATTTATGTTTGATAGAGCCGCGCTATATTTATTATTATTTATACTAACAATAATAATTATTTATAATACAGTCGTTCGATGCTAATTAATCGAAGCAATATCCCTTCAAACATGGATTCACACAGTAAAATATGTGGTACTTGCCTCTGGTTTGCTTGTTCGCAAACACGGATAGATATGGCCAAATAAATTTTAAAGAAAAACCACCATTACTTGCGTATACGCCATTACTTGCGTATTGCTAGAACTAACCGCACTAGAAAAAGATATGTTTGAGAGCATGTGTACTCCGAAACGGGACATTTATAATTATACGAGTTATTTGTAATAATAAAACTGCGCATATAGTTTTACCACACACGTACGCACCCCTTTCCCCAGTAAAAAAAGAACGCGTGGAAACTTAATAGTAATCAGACGTATATTATATAACGCACGTATTACATCCAACCTTATCGTAACATAGAAATAGAGCGGCTATTTATACAAACAAGCAACAATTCATGAGCACCTAACACTTCGAAGCAAGGTAAAAAAAACGAAACGGAGCGCAAAGCATAAATGCATAAATGCGATTAACAACAATGGCGGTAGATGATTAATTACGGGGAATAACGCAGCGATGCTCACATGTTTCTCCCTGCAACAGTGTGCCCCTGACCCTCGCACTCGCTGCAATGATTCACAGGCTACACACGATCCTAGTGCGAGACAGACCTCCGACAGCGACGCACATTTTTTTATCAATTAAAACAAATCCTCTCATTAAATTATGATTGCCGTGTGCGTGTGTGTGTGCGTATGTGTACGTGCGCGTGCGTGCGTGCGTGCGTGATTGTGTGCGTGTGTACGTGGTGTGATGTGAGCGACCATGTGTGCGTGGTGTCGCGTGTGCGAGCGTGCGTGGTGTCGTGTGTGTGGTGTCGTGTGTGCGTGGTGTGCGAGCGTGCGTG